CATTTTAATCTATTGTACAAAATATTTTAATAATCGCTAAAGCTACATTTAATCTAATTATACCCATAGATGCAGTTTTTCACGGGCTTTAATTTGGTATAAAAACCTTCTGATATTATCTATCACTTGGGTGGTGTAGGGGGGGAGACAAAGGTTATGTGACACCGTGTATATATATATATTAGAAAAAAGATTATTTGTATAGAAAACAAGTCATATCATTAGATAAATATTGACTATTTGCATATCTTTCACTTTCTTTATTGCCTTTGATACTTATAGTCTTTAAAATATTTGGGACTCTTGTAGATTTTCGATGTATTATAAAACATTGAAAATGACTAAAGGAGTAAAACAAAACAAAGATTGTTTATACCTGTGAAGGAAACGATAGACTAAAATAAGTTTAATCTTTTCGAGACTTCTCATAAAACTAAATTTATTTTCAAAATATCTGAAGATAAACATTCATAGTTTTATTTTTTAAAACATATCATTTTTGAATAGGAAAGTACATAATTAATAAATCAAAAACTCATCAAAACTGAACAGTTTGTTCGGTAGAATAAACTGTTCAATCATTCATTTCATTTCTTCAAATCAACTCAGACGCAAGAATTAGTTTGTAATTAAGAAAATATGATATACAAAATATGAGTCTATCTGCTCATCGAATATTCGAAAATTGATTTTACAACGATTTAATTATACTTGAGTAGAATAAATACTGATTCATTAGCGAAGAAAAAAATCTATCTATAATAGTAATATGAAAACAATTATTATCCTGAGTAATAATAGTTTTTTTTGTAAATTGAAAAGATTCAATTAATAAAATGCAAACTTACCATATTATAAATATTTGATGAACAAGATGTCATATTAATGATATCCACAATCAAAGTCGTTAATTGTTTAAGACGACCATCAAGTAAAACAAGACAATCATCATATGTCATTACACGAATACATAATTTTTGAAGAGTTGAAGAGAAGAAAGGACTGAAAGGTGATTTGGAAAGCTGCAAAGGTGGAAAATCGTACGAATATGATCCAATATTAGAAAAATGTTTTAGATTGTCGAAGAATGTCAAAAGATATCCATACACATCCATTCTATAAAGTTTTATTGATATTGCTTTACACTCGGTTCCGAATACAAGAATAAGATCTGTAATTTGGCGTTGAAGCATCTTCCCAATTAGTGATCTATCTAAATATATAAAAATAAATAATTATTGTCTAATCTATCTATACAAGAGGTATTCATCTAAATCTTTACTCTGATCACTACATCAGTTATTTACCTGTAAAATAATAACGTGTAATGTTAAGGCTAAAATTAAAGAGTTTAAGTTTAGTTAAATTAGGATAATCGGCAACACGAAGGATACGTTCCATAGACAGTGAGTCAAGAATAAGAGATTTAACATTGTGATGAATTCTTGGCAAAATATTTATGCAAAATCGATCAATTACTGTATCATTAAGTGAGAATATCTCATTAGTTAGTGTTGTTGATACAAAATTGAGAGTATTAGTGAAAGTATTATCTTGTGCTATAATATCAAGCTGTTGGTTATTAACATCTAACAATGAATAAAGAGCATCCACATTGTCGAGCTTTTTCATAATAATAAGTAATATTTCATTAGGTAACAGAGCCCGAATCGAACCGACTTTTATGGATTCGAGTTCGGTTCGGTTCGACTAAAGTTTTAAAAAATTGGTTCGGGTTCGGTTCGGCTCGAGTATGTCTTTAAAAAGTGAGTTCGAGTT